AAATAATTCTGAAGCACATTTTCCCCCTCTCAGCATGTATTATGGTTCAGTTTTAAAAATAAAGATTTTTTAAAGATTAAAAAAAAAAAAAAATCTTTATCTACCCAAGGTCGCAAAGCTCGTCCCTTACGTTTTCTTTCTTAAGCTTTATAATAAGTTTTTAGCTTTTACATTTAGGTCTATATTCCCTTTTGAATTAATTTTTGTGTGAAGTGTAAAGTAGGGGTCAAATTTCTATTCTTTTTTTATATGGATAATCAGTTGTTCCTGTACCCTTTGTTGAAAGGACGTTTCTTTCTCCATTGAATTGCTTTGGTGCTGTTAGGATTTGAATTGCGTCCTCCAAAAAGACATGCTGAAGTTCTAACCCCTGCTGCCTGTGAATGTGACCTTGTTTGGAAATAGGGTCTTTGAAGATGTTATCAGTTAACTTGGGGTCATACTGGAATAGGGTGGGTCCTAATCCAATAAGAGTGGTGTCCCCATAAAAGAGGAGAGGAGACTGAGACACAGAGGGAAGAAGGCCATGTGGAGAGGGAGGCAGAGATTGGAGTGATGCTGCCACAAGCCAAGGAAGCTGGGAGAGACAAGGAAGGAGCTTCCCCTAGAGCCTTGGAAATAACACGGCTGTGCGGACACCCTGAATTCCGACTCCTAGCCTCCAGAATTGTGAGACAATACATTTCTTTTCTTATAAGCCACCCACTTTGCGGATCTTTGTTATGGAATCCCCTAGTTATTTTTTGGAGGCCTGGTGGTGCAGTGGTTAAGAGCTTGTCTGCTAACCAATAGGTCAGCAGATCGAATCCACCAGGCGCTCCTTAGAAACCCTATGGGGCAGTTCTATTCTGTCCTATAAGGCTGCTGAGCTGGAAGTTATTTCTTACTACTAATAAAGTATAGACAATTTCAAATGATTCACTCTTGCTAGATTAGAAGCTTCTTAAAAATGGATCTCAAAGTTTCCCTGTAATGAGGTTGAGCTCACACATTCGCATTCCAAGATCCTCCCTTGACTGGAGAGAAGGGCTGATGCCCTGGCCGGCAGGCCGAGAGCCCCGTGTCCTACATATGAATGTGCAGCAGCCCAGTGCAGGCAGGGAACATGGGTGGGGAAGTGCTGCTGTGGAGAGTTTAATGCACTGATTTCCTTTCAGATTGATCCTTGTTGTTTAATCCATCTCAAGTGCCTGCCTTGACTTCTTCTCATCATCACTGTGATACATGAGAACACTGAGCCCTCTCCAAGGCTTGTGTACAACACCAAGGACACAGGATCATGCTGTCCCTCATTTTGAAGAGGTGGCTGTGGAGGGTGAGGCACTGGTTTTTGTGGTCGTCCCTTCCTGACAGGCACAGGTACAGTGGGATGTCCATGTGCTCTAGTACTACAGAAAACCAAAAACCAGTTGCTGTTGAATTGACTCTGACTCACAGCGACCCCATGTGTGTCACAGTAGAACTGTACTCCATGGGGTTTTCAATGGCTGATTTTTCGGAATTAGAACACTAGGCCTTTCTTCCAAGGAACCTGTGGGTGGACTGGAACCTCCAACCTTTTGGTTAGCAGCTGAGTGTGTTAACCATTTGTACCACCCAGGGACAATATCACAGAGGGGCCTTTAAATGCTAGCTCTACACCTGTCAACTGGAAGGCCTGGGCCTCGTCCTCTGGTCTCACACTATTAGCTTCAAAGTCGACAACAGGGCGGCTCCCCTTCACAGAGCTTTCCGATGCTCAAACGAGATGTTTAGGAGTCTTACACACATCACTTCCTGAGTCTTTGTGAGCAGGCACACTCAGTCAGGGGAAGAAGGAAAAGGAGCATTATCTCCATTTTCGAGCTAAGGACGTTGAGCCTCAGGGGCGTGAGTGGCTCACCTGGGCAGAGCTGGGTGGACAGCCTGGCCTTCCTCGGCCTTGTCCTTGTGCCTGGCAGGCATCTCTGCCCTGTTCCCTCCTGAGAACAGCCCCGAGCAAAGGAATGAGCTTGTGGCCAGTGGTGAATTGGGCAAGAAACAGGACCAAAACAAGGTGGTCTCATCAGTGTCACTGGGAAGCTGCCGGTGGCCCCTGGCTTTCAGTGTGGCACTGGCTTTGGCTATTTAAGCAATGAGGCATCACTGGACACAGAGGCCACTCGAAAGCTCAGGGCAACAGTCTGCCTGATTGCTGAGGTCCAGGCTCTCCATATCCCGCCCCCGCCCTGCCTTCCAGTGTGTGGGGCTAAGTCCTCCTGGGACTGCAGATCGCCCTTGCCTAGACTGTGCAGCTTTAGGAGCTGACCTTTCCTGTTCTGACCGTGTCCTTGATTTACCGTCCTGAAGGAGCTGTGGTAGCATGTAAAAGTCTGTTGACCACTCTGGTCATCTGAGGATAAACAGGGGCCTCTAATGGTATGGGCACAGAACCCAGGGCTGGCCTCAGTGCCCAGGCCAAATGGTCTTGCTCCTCATTGACAGAGTTTCGCAGCTGGCATCTGGCTGATGCTGTGCTGGGGCTGAAGCCACCTCCACAATGGTGGCCCATCTGTCCTTGCTGTGGTCCAGACAGCCACAGCTGTAGGACGCCTGGATATGGGGAGCAGGGGTCAACAGTAAGTGCACAGGAGGGGGTTAGGAGGCTCAGGTGATGCACTGCCGCCTCTCCTTGAGCACAGTCATCTCCTCCCTCAGCCGAGAGTGGAGGCGACAGTGGCATCTCCCGGGATTGAGACTCCCCGAGGGCTGGGCCTGTCTGACTTGTGCACTGTCCACTGCTGGCACCTAGACTGTGCCCGCATGCTCAAAGTGAACGAGCTCGTGCCGAGGAGAGCTGGGGAGCCAGGAGTGTCAGCTCCTGTCACCCCACCAGCACTAATGACACAGCCCCCAGCCCACTACAGGGAAGCAGTGACATGACCCATAGGTGGGGTTGGTGGTCATCCTGGCAGAGGGGCAGCTGGGCAGGTATTCAGAGGCTGCCATGTATTCTTTTGAGTTCATGCACACATTTCCTCTCATATATGAGAAAGATAAAAGAATCTCCAGTGTTGAAAGTTTTCCTTTTTCATTTCCTGCTGCCTGACCGTCGGCCCACCTGTGAGCACTGGCTCACTGTGAGCTAGGCGGTGCTCCAGGACTGCCCAGCTAGAGGCGCCAGCTCCAGAGTCAGCTCAGCAGAGTCTCCTGCAGCAGGAAGAGAAAATGGCAGGGGTGGACGAAGGCACAATGACTGTGAGCCCACCACGCCCTCCGCCCCACCCCAAGGCTCCCGTTGGTCCCAGAATTTAGCTTTAGAGGGTTCAGAGTCACCAGTGTCCACTGGCCTCAGAGGCCTGGCCCTCGGGACAGGCAATCCACGTGCTAGGAGATGGCTACTCGGGGCTCAGCTCCAGGACGTGGCCTTTCAGATAGTCCTTCGAAGGAGGGACACCCTTACCTAAGGATGACCCCTCACGCCACCATGTCTCCCAGGACATCCTGCCCATGCAGGGGTCTGGAAAGAACAGACAACAGGAATGCCGGGGAGGCTTCTTCCAGTCCTCACCCCCCCCCCACCCCACCTGCCACCTTGTCACAGGACAATGAAAGCTCAGGGTTCCTGAAGGAGGCCACCCAGCTTTCCCTGAGGTGTTGCAATCTCAGCCTGGATCCTCCCGGCCCTTGTGAATGACAGTTTTAGTCTGGACTGAAACCTGTTCAGCATCATAGCAATATACAGCCTCCACTGACAGACGGGTGGTGGCTGTGCATGAGGTACATTGGCCGGGAATTGAACTGGGTCTCCTGCATGGAAGTCCAAGGTACAAGTATAGCATTTGAAAAATGTTTGGTGATTTGAATTAAAGCTCAAGTTGTGGACCATGAGGCAGAACCACTGTTTTCTGGGCATTACTCATGCAGCTTGTTTTCTTAGAGAATATGAATGTGTACCTCACTCCTTATGGGATGAAGGGGATCTCTGAAAATGCAGCCCGGGGCTGGGTGAGAAACAGTCTGCTTAACGCACGCTGAAGGAATGGACTAGTCACGCTGGGACTCCCACCCAGCTCCTCCCACTAGGGACTGTGGTTTGGTTCCAGGCTTGATGCGGGACTTGGGGTTGGGCTTCCAAAATTCCTTTGGAAAGCTAAGTGAAAATTCCAAATTGATAACATGGTAAATGACACCGAGGCCCATTCCTTCCCTCCAGAAAGCAGCTCTGCCCGCCCACCCCTGCCCGGCTGGCTAATGGCTGCCCCTCATCAAATCGGGCACCTGTGGTCCTCCATCAGTGCCTGCACCATGCCAGGAAGAGAATCTGATTAGAACCCTGCTCATGGATGGAGCAGGCTGACTACAAACGCCTGGGATGGGGTGGGGTGGGGGGGCATCAAAGCAACATTCTTCCTTAAAGGTCGCCTGGGAAGCCAGGCCTCCTATCAGGAAACAAAACTCTGAGGGAGTTCAAGCACCTGGCCCCGCTCTGTGCCTCAGAGAGCCGGGGGCATCCGCTCTCCTTTTCTGCCTCACCAGTGAGGCAAAAGGCAGAGAAAGCCCACGCCCTGGGGCCAGGGGCCTGACTCCCAGCCCCGGTTGATGAAAAGCAAGTAAATACCTGGCCTCTGCTCAGAGACATGACTCCCTTCGCTTTTGAGGGGAGCCTTGGCATTTCATTAGTGATCTCTTTGAAGCCTGCCCTTTAAAAGCCAGAAAAAGAGAGAAGGGAGAAAGGAAGGGAGGCTGACTCAAAAAGCTTCCCTTATCTGGAGTTTCTGATGCCCCTGTTGGTGTTCTCTCATTACATGAATGGAAGAACCTGTCAGGCAAGAAATAATGCCTGGTGTTTACACTGTAATGGAACCCAGGGACCAATTAACAATGCTGAGCGCCAATGGGCAAAGCACTTCTAAAAGGAACGGAGGGATCACTTACATTATTGTTCCTTTCTCCCCCCCTCCCCAAATAAAAGACAAATGCTATGTCAGTACTTTCTCAAGAGCGATCCTTTATTTTCTGAAAGTCCTAAAACTGACCCATTTATCAAAAGATGCCTGATGCCCTGTTCAAGAACAATATCGTTTTCTCCTTCGGTGAATCTTTCAGCCATGAAAGGCCCGTGGCCAGGAGGAGCAGCGGCATCAGAACCTGCCTTCGACACCCAGCACCCGCACAACGGCCTCCTGCACGGCCTGGTGGACTCCCTGCACCTCCCGCTGTGACAGCGTCCGCTCCATGTGTCGGTAGGTGATGCGGTAGCAGTGGCTGGTCTTGTGTGTCCTAGAAAACAGAAGAGAGGAGGCAGTGAGTGGGGGGCATGGGGGCCTCGTCAGTAGGAGGAGCTTTGCCCGTGCATACTGGACCTCCACACCTCGGAGAACTTCGGGCATGACCCCCACCACCGCCATTATAGCACAGAAGTGTCACTTTTCCCTAATAACTTGTACCTTCTAAATTCTTTCTTTGGGGGAGGGTGGTGATTAGGGAAGTGTTAGCCTTGGATAATCTAGGCTGCTGGCTCCCACTGGACCCTGAGAAGCTTCTTACAAAGTGATTTCCTGAGCCAGGCCCTGGACACGCTGACTGAGAGGTGGGCCCTGGACACGCTGAGAGGTGGGCCCTGGACATGCTGACTGAGACGTGGGCCCTGGACGCGCTGACTGAGACGTGGGCCCTGAACACGCTGACTGAGAGGTGGGCCCTGGACGTGCTGACTGAGAGGTGGGCCCTGGATTTGCTGAGAGATGGGCCCTGGACACGCTGACTGAGAGGTGGGCCCTGGACACGCTGACTGAGAGGTGGGCCCTGGACACGCTGACTGAGAGGTGGGCCCTGGACACGCTGACTGAGAGGTGGGCCCTGGACGCGCTGACTGAGACGTGGGCCCTGGATTTGCTGAGAGGTGGGCCCTGGATGCACTGACTGAGAGGAGGGACCACTCCCAGGCAATTCTGCCCAGCAGACAGGGTTAGGAATGCCACTGTCCTCATGTCACAGAGATAATCACATGGTAGTGAGCCTGAGGCTGCTCCAGGCCCAAGCCTGGCCCCAGGGCCCTGGCTATGCACAGGCTGAGGGCTGTCCCTCTCTCACACCCCTGCAGGCTGTGGGAAGGACTCACTGTGCCTTCTGGACACTTGTTTTAATCCTCTGTTTTTACCATGGTGGTGCTGACTTGGCTTTTGTAGAATAACTGGGTAATTCTGGAGTATGTGGACAGGATAGCTGTAAGGCCTTTATTTGCACTGCAGTTTCTAAGACCTCATCAGGAAGACCCTGGGCCACACGTGGGCAGAATTGACCTGCTGCCCTGAGCTGCCTTCACTGGCTGGGCAGCCATGGGTCTGCCACCTCCCCTCTCTGGCCACTTATGTTTCTCTTTGATATGGGGGAGGGGCAGTGGTTGTTCCACTTCAGAATCCACGGTCCTCTTTTCTCACCCCCAGACACAGCAGAGTCACCTCACACCCTTCCTCCACCTGGAGTAAAGAAACGGCAAACCAGTGGGCCTGGCCTCTCTCCCCCGGAAGGTGTGGACAGGCCAGTTCCCAGCCCCACCAGGCGGGCTGCTGCTCTCAGTATGTGAAGGCTGGACTTTAACCATGCCAGGGCCTCTGGACAAACAGGCTGCTGGTGGCTTTGCCCCACACCACTCCCTCATGCCCACTGGAAGACCTGCTAATTCTGACCATCGCCCCGGATCCAAAGCCTTTGCTTCCAGAGGATGCCCAAAACTCCAGGAATTTGCTCTCAATGCAGTTCCCTCTCTTCTCTCCTCTCTCCTCCCTTTATTTACAAGGTAGAGCCCTTTACAGGGTCAGATACACCTGACAAACGAAGAGTCTGCCTTGGGTCCTAGCCTCCTTAATCCGTTCTTCACCTCCTCTCTCTGCTCCTCCTCCCTTCTCTTTCCTACCTGGGGGTGGTCATCTCTGAGCCCCTTTCAGGAAGGATACTGTCATGGTTTGAATTATGTCCCCCCAAAAATGTGTGTATCAGTTTGGCTAGCCCATGATTCCTGGTACTGTGTGATTTTCCTGTATGTCATAAACCTGCCTCTATGATGTTAATGAGGGAGGATGGGCGGCAGTTGTGTTAGTAAGGCAGGACCTGATCTACAAGACTGGATTGTGTCCTGAGGCAATCTGTTGAGATATAAAAGACAGAAGTGAGCAGTGAGACAGGGGGACCTCATACCATCAAGAAAGCAGTGCTGGGAGCAGAGCGCGTCCTTTGGACTGGGGTCCCTGTGCTGAGAAGCTCCTAGTCTGGGGGAACATTGATGAGAAGGCTGAGAGAAAAAGCCTTCCCCTGGAGCTGACACCCTGAATTTGGACTTTTAGCCTACTTTGACTGTGAGGAAATAAACTTGTCTTTGTTAAAACCATCTACTTGTGGTATTTCTGTTATGGCAGCACTAGATGACTAAGACAGATACACTCACAGGATCTAGGGTGCTATAGCTCACAGGGTTATCTGCCTTCAGGTGGGTACAGGGTCCCTATTTGGATCAGCCCAGGATGATGTCACTGGTGAGTGTTACATTACCACATCTAGAGGGGAGGAGGCCCTTACTTTAGGGGATTCCTTGGGGTTCCCGAAATCACATCATCTGCTCTGTTCCCTCTCCCGATGCCAGCTGCCTGCTCTAGATTAGAGGAGAAAACAACCTCCTCCCCACCTCTATTTCTTTTTCAGTTCAGTACAGGCCCATGGCTCTGCTCAGTGGACATGCCTGGGGGTGGATCCTGAGTGCGGGAAGGCACTGCTGCCAGACTGCCCAGAGAGCCCGCTATGAAGCTAGTAGCCATTTCTCCTTACTCAATGCTCCTGACAGGAGTGTCCCACACCACACTCACTCACGCCATCCAGGTATCGAACAGCCAGCGAGGCAGAGAAACTTGGCTCAGAGGCAAAACTAAGAGTTGCCACAAGAGTGGGAGCTGGTGAAGCAATGCACCCCAAACCCCCTGCTCCAAGTGCTGTCTTATTCCATTCAAAACCCAACTGCCCCAGTTATAGTCACTGGTTTTTGACAAGCGTGCCAAGACTGCTCAGTGGGAAAATGTCTTTTCAATAAATCGTGCTGGGACAGCTGGATAGGTATATACAAAAAAAAGAACATGGACCCCTTCCTCACACCATACAAAAATTAACTCAAAATTGATCATAGACCTAAATGTAAGAGCTGAAACTATAACACTCTAAAAAGAAAATATAGGAGTAATCTTCATGACCCTGGGTTAGGCAGTCTTCCCAGACACAACACCAAAAGCACAAGCAACAAAAGAAAAAGTAGATAAATTGGACTTCATCAAAATTTAAAACTTTCGTGTCTCATAGAATACCACTGAGAGAATGAAGACAACCCACAGAATGGGAGAAAATATTTGCAAATCACATATCTGATAAGGGACTTGTATCTAGATTATATAAAGAACTCTTACCATTCAACAATAAAAAGACAAATAACCCAGTTAAAAATGGGCAAAGGACATGAAGAGACATTCCTCCAAAGAAGATATACAAACGGTCAATAAGCGTATCATTAGTCATTAGGTAAATGCAAATGCAATCCATAATGATATATCACTTCACATCCACTAGGATGACTACAATAAAAAAGATGGACAATAACAAGTATTGGAATGCAACTGCTTTGGCAAACAGTTTTGCAGGTCCTCAAAAAGTTAAACATAGGATTCCCATAAGATGCAGGAAATCACTCCTAGGTTTATACCCAAGAGAAATAAAAACATATGACCACACTGTACACAAATGTTCATAGTAGCATTATCCATAATAGCCTCAAAGTGGAAATAACCCAGGTGTCCATCAACTGCTAAATGGATAAACAAAATGTGGTCTATTCATACAATGGACTATTATTTGGCCATAAAAAGGGCTGAAGCACTTACACATGCTACAACATGGATGAACCTTGAAAATGTTATGCTAAATGAAAAAAGCCAGACTCAAAAGACCACATATGGTGTGATTTCATTTATGTGAAATGTTTAGAATAGTCAAATCTATAGAGACAGAAAGCAGGTTTAGTAATTACCAGGGGTAGGGGGTTGGGAGGAATGAGAAATGAGGTTTCTTTTGGGCTTATGAAAATGTTTGGAATTAGAATGTGCTGATGGTTGCACAGCTCTGTGAATATACTACAAACCACTGACGTGTACACTTTAAATGGGTGTATGGTATGTGAATTATATCTCAATACCAAAACCTGTTGCTGTCGAGTCTATTCTGACTCATAGTGACCCTACAGAACAGAGTAGAACTGCCCCAAAGGTTTCCAATGAGTGGCTGGTGGATTTGAACGGCTGACCTTTTGGTTAGCAGACAGCTCTTAAACCACTGCACCACCAGTTCTCCGTATTTTGATAAGGCTATTCTATTTAAAAAAAAAAAAAGGCACGTGTACCTGCCCTGTTGGGCACTAGTGGGTCTGGGCGCTGCGGAGTGCTGGTCTCCCTGTCTGCCCCAACCTGTCATCCCGCTGTCCCCCCATGTGCACTCCTGAAGGCAGGGCCGACTATCCTGTTCCACCCTCACCTCTGTGCCCAGAGCAATGTCTAACACACAGTAAGTGCAGGATAAAGTTTGCTGAATGAACGCGCATGCGTCCCCTGGGTAGGGAGTGTCACAGCTTTGCAATGCATGAGGCGGGGTGGGGGCTTCCTGTGCCCTGCCAAGCTCCCATGGCCCCTGCCTGTGTGCAGCCCCTTCCCCTCCTCCTCTCTACTGCTGCCTCTGATAGTGATGGGACGGACACCTGGCCCACGAGGCACCGGAGAGCAGCAACCAACAATGACTGAACCTCACCCAGCTCTTTCCACCTCCCTAGCAGAGGGGGCAGCAGTGCTGAGGGGCAGGGCAGGCTCTGGGCCAGGCTGCCTGGGTTCAAGGTCAGCTCTGCCATTTCCCACCTGTGCACCCTTGGCCAGTGATTTAACTGGGCTTCCATTTCCTCATCTATAATATGCAGAAATTCACTGTGTCAACCTCATAGGACTGTTTTAACAAGACCCCAATGAAGAAGCATGTCAAGCACTTAGCACAGTACCCAGCTCCTTGTAAGAGCTCACTATACATGAGCTCTTTTTCATTACTTTATAAATAAGGAGAGCAGTGAATGATGGGAGAGCAGCAGCAGCTGTTGGCATGGGCCAGCCAAGCCCCACTCTTCCTGTGAGTCCAAGGCATGAAAGCCTTTTGCAGAACTCAGTCCTCATGGAAAACCTTTAAGCCACAGCGCCTGGTACACACGC